ACTGATTAAAAAAAAATAACCATTATCATACCAAGAAGCAGGCATCTTTAATATGAACAATATTTATATTTACTAAGCAAATGGTACACGGCCATAACTGAGAAGCGTCCAGTTAGCGAGAATCGAAATCACTACATGAGAAATCTCCTACGACATAAGCTTGTCAGTTATTGCTCCATGGCGAAGTATCCCAAATGTTTGTTTGGCTTAACTTAATATATTATTAGGTTGTTACATAAATTCATGCATTTTTTTCATAACTTATTTTAATGATCATTATTTAGTGATAGTTCTGATAAATCATTCAACAATGTATTCCTCCTTCATTGTTTACGATCTCCTGCCAACAATCGACTAACTGTTCAATACCTCGTCAATAGAAATCATTAGGTTTTGACATGAAAAATTCATCAAGCAACGTCTTAAGCTCCACATCGTTGTTAAAGAAAACACCCTTCAAATTGTTAGGAAAGATGGTAGCCTGAAGGGGCTAGATCAGGAGAATATGGTGGATGTGGCAAACCTTCCCAATCGAGCTCTTTAATTGAATGTTTGGTCAAGTTAATGACGTGGGCGTGAGCATTGTCATGTTGAGTAATCGCCGGTCAGGTCTTTTCAGCAGAATTGCCTCTTTGAGACTGTTCATTTGTTCAACATACGGTTTAGTATTGACCGTTTGGTCGTTTTGAAATACTACATAGTAAATTAGTCCTTGCCAATCCAACCAAATACAGATCATTCGCTTGCGTGGAAACGAACGAACACGTGTAACAATCTAATACAAATTTACACATATGGATAGCCAGTAAAGAACGAACTCACTAAAATCGTTTGTGAGATTTGCTCGACTTCAGCTTTATGACCATATTACGCTAAAACAGCGGTTCTCATACGATAACCGAAGTTAAGCAACATCAAACCTGATCAGTTCCTAGAGGGGTGACCACTTGGGAATTGGTGCTGCAAGCTTGGATGTGCGAATGGTGTAATGGATAACGGCTCAGAAATGGAGAGCGAAGAGTCAAGTTCCAATTCCAGTCAGGTTTGTTGTATTCACTTACGCGTAAATATACTTGAGAAACTTATGAATTCATCTCTCCCCCTGTAGCGATATCAGCTGTCAACTGATATCTTAACAGGGGCCCACCTGCAATGGGTCACAAAAATCGTTTTGACAGTTATCTATCTTGGCAAAGAAGGTCAACTTAACAGAGTGGAAAGAAGAACCAGGACAAACGATCCTGACAAAGGCGGTCACGAAGTGAAGCCAGCTCCTGAGTTCTTGATGAATTACTTTTTTAAACAAAGAACTCTGGCTTGTATGAAACAGTGGTCCCTCGCAGCAAAAGTCAGAGAGACATGGAGAAAGGCGCAGAAAAGGACAAGAGACTGCTCGCCGCTACGCGAAATGGAAGATATGTTTGTTAGACCGTCCGCTTCCTCAACACGCCTTATCTCTGCCTGGCTCGTCTACAGCAGAAGGTTACAACCAAAATAAAATTTGCCTACTGCTACAATTTCGTTGGTAACCATTTAGCCAGATATCTTTTTGAAGTCACAAGCGTTTGACTGGAAGAAACTGCACCCTGAGAACGAACTTGGGGTCTGCTCTAAGTTGCCTAAACAAAACGTTCACAATAAAGTTTCTTTTTCCCTGCAATAATTAAAATCATCATTCTGAGCTTGTGTTACTAGTGATTAAAAATTCATTACTAGTGTGGTTTGAGTTGACTATGGTTTCTTCTCTGGTGTTAAGATGGAACCATTAAGATCTTTATAGAAAAATTATATATATCATCACACTAATATTATTTTGCTTGTAACAACAGTTTTCGTTAGTTAGTGACTTAATGACGGGTCTGTTGTTTATGCTTTGACTAACTTTTTACCTTCCCCTTACTAACAATTTCAGTTGGCTGTATTCGTTTTCTTCTTTTTCTTTCTCTATAATAAGAAAAATTCGATAAAAATATTTTAAGCAAAAAACAAAAAAATCGTACATACTTTATGAAAAAATTAAATTATTTTAGCTAGAAAGAAGACCACAAAATTCAAACCACCTTTTATATTTAATTTTTCATGCCGTAAGTATGACTATTGTAGAAAGCAAAAAATAATTAAAAAATAAAATTTCCCTGGCTTGGCTAGCGAAATCGCAAATTCAAAAAAAGAAATTCGAGACTAGGTGTGAAGTAAATATTCAACCAACTTGGGAAAACTAGAGAAACAAAGAAAAACATTTCTCGAGCCGATGTTAGAAATAAATATTCAACCACCGAGAAGCATCGCTTTTGGAAAATCCGAGAAAAAGAAAAAAATAGAAATTCACGAGCTGGTGCGAGAAAATAAACTAGCATATAAACAAAGTGCTAACAACAGACAGAAGACAGTAAAAAAGGAAAGACTTGGATATAGAAGGATGCAAATGCAACTCGACTTAGCAAAACATTAATGACAAATATTTCTGCGATTGCACTTACTAAGAAAAACTTCTACTACACAGGAAGAACTCTAAAAGAACGAAGGACTAATGTAATATAAACAATTCGAAATCCGTTCCCTTGAACCAGCGAAAAAGGCTCATTGGTACAATTATACTCTATCTTGCTACCAGCCTATTTAATACTTCTCAACCAGAGTAAGAAAATATTTCATAAAAATACAGAGAATTTCGTCACTCATTTTCAAAACAGTCAAAATCCTCATCTTCGTTATCATCTTTGTAAAATTGGGTGTACAATTCCGTGAGGCCAGGTGCAATTGTCAGAATATCCAATTTAGGAATCGCCTTCATCGTCACTGACTGATGATATTTGTTGAGATTGCAGAAAATCATCGCACAATTCTGATTTACGGAATCCGTTGTTGATAGTTGAAACCTTGACGTTCGTCCAACCTTCGAGTACCCATTCAACAATCATGCATAAGTTACTGATAAGACTTGAAAGTAGAATGTTGAAATTTAACGAAATACTAATCAGAACCGAATATGCTATGTGCCGCTACACTGATAAATTTATTTTTAAGTTAGTATTTGGCCACTCAAGATTCGAAGACACAATTCATATATAACCCGAACCATTATATAACCTGTACTCTACATATTTCTAGAAAAAATAATCGCTGGAAAATATTGTATTTGGAAGACCAATTAAAACTAAAAGCCACCATCTTAGAGCTTGATATCAAAATGCTATCTCAAAAAAAAAGTAATGTCAAGGAAGACATTAATTTGTCTAAAAGGTGAAGAAAGTACTTCTTTGGACATGTTTTCATTTTCATTTTTATAATATCTGTTTTTATTAGATTATATATTTGTTAAATTCTATTTACCTAACATATAAAATGTGTAACTGTAAAAAAATCACTTGGTGAATGCGACCTCTATGATGGACGATGAATCTCAATGTGGCCTTCATGCATAAAATGGGTTTCCCATTCCTGCACTAGAGTAATAATGATCTATAAGACATCTTATGTGTGTTCTGTCCCTTCCGGGCGTAAGCAATCACGGCTCAACTTTATTGCCCTAAGTAACTTTTTCCTCTTTAACATCCATTTTTTGTCCGTTTGCCATCCATTCACTCAAACTCGTTATGTAGGTTTCTTGATCTTTCCCTCGTTTCTCTTGCCTTCAATATGTCCTGTGAGTGTTAAATTCTCCAAACCCTTTTTCTCAATATACATCACAGGAATTTCAGCTGTCTCTTTCTGATTGTTAGATACAGTTACCTGTAGTTCGTATTCTCCGGAAGACTTCCTCGTAACTCACATGTTCTGGCCATGGTATTCACAACATTCATCGATTTTACTTATTCTTCTTCTATGTGCCGTGTCTCTTCAGGACATCAGCGATCATGGCTCTCTACAGTTTCCTGTTCTTTGTCGTCTTAATAAATTTGGTCTTTTTGTTATCTCTCCTAAACCCTGTTCTGCTATCCATTTACTCAAGCTCGCTAGGTAGGTTATGGTTTGTTTCCCTTTGTCTCTCTTACATTCATTATGTCCTGTGAGTGTCGAATTTTCCAAGCCCTTTTTTCTCATTTTGTACCCTAGAAATTTCAAACTTTCTCTTTCCGATGTTAAATAAAAGTGTTATTTTGTTGCCGTTTTCTATAAAACATAGTCGTTGCTCACGTGTTCGGTTTCATAACGAGGCATCCAAAATATTAGTTAACTTGGCTTTGTCAAGAATAAAGCTACACATTTGGTGAAATTTATGGAAGGTGAATTCATTTCAATAATGATAATCTGTGATGTTATCCTGCTAATCATTTCTCCACCGCGAGGCTATAAGCTTTTTACTGAACTTAATATAGACATACACAGGGCTACAGTTTTGGTACACACACTATAGATCAAACTGACTATACTAGCGAACTTACGTGACATCTGTCCACCTATACGGCAGTGAATATTTGTCGGTCTCCTCAAAGATGAAGAAGAGACTTGAGACAGCGGAGATGTGGTTCTACAGAAGGATTCTAAGGATATCATGGAGCGAGCGTGTGAGCAATGATGATGTCTTGGAGGGGATGCAAACAAGGAGGAAGCTTATACTTAACATAAGGAAGAGGCAGATGAAATTTCTGGGACATATAATGAGAAAGGAGGGCCTGGAGAATCTGATACTCACAGGTCGAATAGAGGTAAAAAGAGACAAAGGAAAGCAACGCATGTCATACCTGGCGGGTTTAAGCAAGTGGATGGAAGAACGTAGTCTGGGGGAGTTGGCAGAGGCACGAAACTTATTGAGAGGCACAAGAGATAGGGGGAAGTGGAGAGCCATGATCGCCTACGTCCTGAAAGGACACGGCACATAAAAAGAAAGAAAGAACCTGCGCGACGAATTTGCTAACCATCATCCGGTAATAATTAATTTATTCTGAAAAACAGTTTCTTCTGACCAGTCATTAGTTCACAATAGCGAAATTCTATTGCTACTCTTTTTGCGAAATGTTGCGTGTATTTTATATTTAGGGAATTTCGCATCATGTGATATGTTTCCCTTTCTTTCTTTCTTTCTTTCTTTCTTTCTTTCTTTCTGTCTGTCTTTCTTTCTTTGTCTTTCTTTCTTTGTTTTTCTTTCTTTCTTTGTCTTTCTTTCTTTGTTTTTCTTTCTTTCTTGTTTGTCTTTCTTTTTTGTTTGTCTTTCTTTCTTGTTTGTTTTTCTTTCAGTCTTTCTTGTTTGTCTTTCTTTTCTTGTTTGTCGTTTTTTCTTGTTTGTCTTTCTTTCAGTCTTTCTTGTTTGTCTTTCTTTCAGTCTTTCTTGTTTGTTTTTCTTTCAGTCTTTCTTGTTTGTCTTTCTTTTCTTGTTTGTCGTTTTTTCTTGTTTGTCTTTCTTTCAGTCTTTCTTGTTTGTCTTTCTTTCAGTCTTTCTGGTTTGTCTTTCTTTCTGGTTTGTCTTTCTTTCAGTCTTTCTTATTTGTTTTTTCTTCATCCATTCTTACGATAATTCCCATTAACAATACACGTCTTTTTCCCACGATAAAAGAATCCTGGCCAAATATTATTAGTTCTTTTATTTCCATGGTAAATTTTCAGATGAGCGTTCCATTCTTTAATTCCACTAGTTCAGACCTTTACAGATGAATCATCAAAATTTCTTCCGAATTACATTTGTAAGGAAGAAGTTCAACTTTTTTTTCCGATAACTGTGGAACTTCCGCATGAATGTTTCTCTGGACACTATAGTATTAAGTCAAAGGTCAATCACTATCATCTTTATCCACGTAATCTTCATTTCCTTCTACTTACCCGTACATTCATACCATGCACTTCATTCGCTAATCCTCTACCATGAGTGGTTTGTATTGAGAAAACTTTAGTATATAAAAAAGAATACTGTGTCCTGTTGAATGACGAATTTGTGAAAGATCAAGTTCAAAATTAATTAATAGTGGCAGGTTGGCTAAAACAGATGTAGTTATGAAAATAAAAAATGCAAGTAAGATTAGTAAAATACACGGAAGACTTACGAAACTCTTAAATTGTTGAGTGATTTTTTACGACTTATCAACCTTTTGTGTGTTATTTAAAGTCGAAACATATTTAGGATTGCAAAAGTAATTCTTTTTTTTTCTTTTTTTTTTTTGTTGCAAGTACTGAATATTGAGTATTTAAATTTTTGCTAGTATTTATTCTGTGAGTATTGAAGATTGCATTAACAGTTTTTTTTAAATCACAATGATTTTCTTTTACAAGTCCTACTGTTTAACCCATAACTGGAGGAAGGAGATGGATTCATAGCTTTCCCAAGTATATTTTTGCGTAAGTGGATGTAACGAGACACGCTTGGAGTTAGCGAAAACAGCAGAATTGTAAGGAAAGGCGAAGAACCAATTATATTTCTAATGCCCAAAAGCGACGTTTTGGCAAACATTTTGAAAATTTTGAAAAACAAAATTCCGAAACTGATTAAGAAAATCCAATGTCTTTTATATATTTACAGATTACCCTTCATTTTAGCAAATTTAAAGCAACGCTGAGGGAAGAGCAAAGCAATGGAAAACGCCGTTACAGGTTACTCTCTACGCACAAACATTAAATATTTTTATTCAAAATCAGCAAGTACGACAGTTTTTGAGGAAGTTCAAATGAAGTAGGGGAGCACGGTGACGTAATAGATAGCGGCTCGGATTGAGGAGTCGGAGAACCAAGTTCGAGTTCCAGTCGAATCCATTGCAATCATTTACGTGCTAATACCCTTGGGAAAGATATGAATCCTCTTCCTCTTCCTCTCCCTCCCCCCACCAGCAGGACAGACCGGGTTCTATAGTCTTGGATGGCACAAGTTTTTGGTGCTACTAAAACTACGGAGACACGGTGGAGTAATGGATAGCGGCTTGGATTGGGGAGTCGGACCGGGTTTTATAGTCTTGGATGGCACTCGGAGAGCCGAGTTCAAATTCCAGTTGAATCCATTATATTCACTTACCTTACCTTGGGAAAGGTATGAATTCTCTTCTTCTCCAGCTATGGGTAAATAGCAGGACAGACCGGGTTCTATAGCCTTGGATGGCCTCTGGTCTACAGTAGAAAGAAATGGCAAACTGCGGGAATAAATAGATCTGCCTCGAAAGATACATGATCGCCTAAGCGTTTATCACGCATGGCACATAACTGACTAGAATTCACTTATATGCTAATACACTTGGGAAAAGTATGAATCCTCTTCTTCTCCCCACCTCCCAGCTATGGGTAAATAGTAGGACAGACCAAGTTCTATAACCTTGGATGGTAACTAGGCTACCGCAGAATGAAATGGCAACCTATTGCGGGAAAAAATCTGCCTATGTCATATATCGAAAGATACATGATTGCCTAAACGTATATCACACATGGCACATAACTAAAAAAGATGTACTAGCCAAATGTCTTTAAAAAGGAATTATGTGATGGTTTTATAAATGACTATATGTTGTATTTTATTGGAACTGAAAACTATGCCTGATAAAATATGCATTAAATAAGAAAAATAAACGGTCAATGAGAGTTATAGAAAAAAATCAGGCTTCAACATCCTCCACCTTGGATTCAGTATATGTATTATCTATAATAAGACACCAAAGAAAACTACGTGACATCTGAACGGCAGAAAAGTGTAAATAAATTTTGATTGGTAGTACGAAGACAAAAAAATTGGTTGGCGTTTTTTTCTGTCGACACACCTGTAACTTTGTATAGTTTCATTAATATTCACCAGATGGTTGACATTTGCTTGGAAATGATAAAAGAAAAATGTTTTTCTTTGTCTCTGAGTATGAATGGGTGTCTACTTTTAAAATTGTTTCCTATTGACAGTCTGAATATATGTGGTCTATTTTATTTTGAATTGGAAAAAATTGTTACTTTGGATTATTTTTCATCTTTAATTTTTTCTTTTTAATTCAATTGCACTTTTATTTCATTTTTTACATTTTTTTTTTTTAATTTTCTCTTTCATTTCCTACTTTCATTCTTTCTTTCATTCATTTTTAGTTTCTGTAACTTTATTTGTAATTTGCATCATTTATACAATTTAGTTATTTAATAATTCTTTTTTTTTCTTTCTTTTTGCTTTTATTCTGTTTAGTTTTTGTTTGTTTGTTTTTTATTCATTCTGTTTATATTTTACGTTTTTTCTTTTTGGTCATCCATTTTATCTTTTATTTGCATGCAATTTCTTGGCTTCTTTTTTATTTTATTTTTACTATGTCTTTTAATTTACTATTCATTTTTTTTTATTTTCTTTTACTTCTTTTTGCTATTTCATTGTCTTTTAAGTGGTGTGTTTTTCTTGTGTTTACCTTTCACGTTTTTATTTCTTTCCTTCTCTTTTGCTATTCATTCTTTTATGCTTTAATTCTTAATTTTCCTTTTTTTTTTCTCCTTCTTATTTCTTTTTCTTTCTTTTATGTGATTTATCATACTGTAATGGAAAATATAAGACATTCTGGGATTTTATGTTACAGATTACCGTCTTATTTGAGTAAGTAAACTGGATCTGATAGTTGCAAAACAAATAAATAAAATCTGGCAAATTGTAAACGTGTCTGTAACAGTGAACTTCTTCTTCTTCTTCTTCTTCTTAATGTCGTATTCCTTCAGGACATTGACAGTCATGGCTCACCACAATCTCCTTTCCTTTGTAACTCTAATAAATTTTATGTCTCCTGTTCTTTCATCCATTTACACAGGCTCGCTAGGTAGGTTATGCGTTGTTTTCCTCTGTTCTTTTTGCCTTCACACTGTCCTGTGAGTATCACATTTTCCAAGCCCTCTTTTCTCATTATGGGGCTAAAAAATTCAAACTCTCTCTTTCTGATACTAAGTATAAGGGTCATTTTTGTTTTCACTTTCTCCGTTCTTGCTCATATATTTGATCTATGGTATTCTTAGAATCCTCCTGTAAAACTTATTTTAACTGATTGGAGGTATTTAACACGTTCATGTTTTGTAGAATTAAGATGGGTTACAGTAAATATTCCGTTCAATTGCACAGATTTTCTTGTCAGTTGGAAATGTCCCTTAGGGCTTGACACACTGTATATCTCTGTTTATGATCAGAAATAACACAGGTGCATCATGGTCGGGAGGGATTTTTTTTATTTGAAGGATGTGACAGGGAAAGCGACACGGAAATCTCATCTGATTACTTGTGGACACCCTCAATAAAAAACCGTCTGAACGTATTTCTAACTTGACCCCCGCCTGCAAAGTTATGTACTGCTTTTATCAAACCCCGTAAGTATATCGTACCGATTTGTCTGGGGTGCATATGCCTGGTACCCACGTTATCAAAGTGGGTAAGATAATGGGTGTATTGAGCTTCGTATATTTGCACCCAGGCGTCCCTTTGATGGCGTGACAACACTCAATAATAATACTAATTTGGAAATCCAAGGAAGAATTTAAACCATCCAGATGACAGCATTACTCAAATCAATAAGGACAATGAGTTTATTGTAGGAATATTGTGGAGATTTGCTGTGCTATTTGCTCTTTACTAACCACCACAAGATTCCAAGGTTAACGAAAAAGAGAATCACCTGAAATATCAGCCTGACAAAAGGATATTATAACAAAACTGTCAAAACAAAAACAGCCATAGATCTACTCCACGACAAAACACAGTAAATCACTTCGATTTCATAAGAGATTGAAAGAGAGAGATTGAGAGAGAGAGAGAGAAATGAGATATCAAACAATGAATATAGCAAACTGGTCTGAAAACAGAAGTAAGCACGAAGGAGGGGGTAACAGTGGTTTGATTGATCGCGTAAATAAATGCTTAGTCACTCTTCGAGAAAAAAAGTAACGTAAAATACATTTAGGCTATGAAATACAGACGGATTTTACTCTGCAAATCAGGAGAACTAAGTTTTGAAAAAAACAATAAAAGAAAACAAGTGTAGTCATTCCAGCTGACCAAAAGAATTTGCAAACATAAATATTTGGGTAACGGTCTTGCACGTAATTGTTGGAGTGTAGCGAAATGTCCAAAGTTCTCTTGCAAAAATTGGAGCTGAAAGAATTTAAAAATGCAGACCTTATGAGCAGGTCCGGTGTATACTACTCTCGACCGGTTCAAGCCTGATTAGAAGCCCTTTGCAGTGTTTTGTAACCCTCGTTATCTTATAAAAATTCATTTTTTCTAAATACATTTATATACATTACAAATTAAACTTAGCACAACAAACTATTAAAGGATGGAAAAGTTTCAGGTTGATCTATTATGACATGTCTCTAATTTGTATTTAGATTCATTGTATTTATTTTCAGTTTTCCTAGTTGAATTGTTCACCGATATTGCATATCATCCATTATTGTAAATAATTAGGTTACAATAATATTAAATTTTATATGAATACTATCTTGAAAATTTAGATATGACAGAGTCCGTATCGTCGATTTCTGGGGAGAGGAGGGCACTAGACCCTTGAATCAGCGCTACATATGAGTGTGAAAATTGGTCGAAGTACTGAAGAAAGTATTGGAAATTTACTACCACTTGATTCTCGTCTATGCCTACCAGGTGGCACTGGTTTGAAAACTCATTACGGCATCAGATATTAAGGTCTGTTCCTCTGAAAAGTTCTTGAAGTTTTCTGGAATAGTTTATCTTTATGAATTATAAAATAAAACTTCTCTCTTACTTAAATATCGCCTCTAATTAAAAAAAATGGAGTAATTCTTCTGAAAACTACTTTTTTAAAACAGACATTGTCATTATGAATAGTGACACAGAGATCAGAGTTGATATACGAGGTAGTGTTACTTAGAATAAAATGCACACACTTTTGATAGTAGAGGCTGTTTCAACACACGATAATGGGTTTATGAATTTGTAAAGAGACCAAAACAAAAAAGGACAATAAGTAATGTTAGTCATACTATTGAATAAAAGCTCATACTAATATTTTTCATCTTTTCCATTGTTTGAGAAAATATATTTAAGTTTAATCAGCTTCTTGAGAAAAGTGAATTATTAATGTATTATATCTTTATGTATTGTATTTTCAATGCTTTACATTTCAAATACAAGTAAATGCTAAGAAATATTTAAAAAAAAACATTTTAATTATATAACTCAATTACATTATACTGTTTTTCTTTTTTTTTTTTTTTTTTCGTTTTTAGAAAAGAAAGCAATAATGAAAGCGGCCGAGGTGATGGCGTCGAAATCGGTCAGCCATTTTCGCATCCATCTTGTCCGTACGGCGGTGCTTCCCAAATGACAAGTATCTTCACCGACCGATCCCTGTCTGTTATGATGATGAAAATGTTATTAATAGTTCCCGCCATAACAATCTGAACTCTCGTTAATTGTGATTAACTCCGTTAGACGGGGGCAGCAAACATTGATCGAGACAATAATAACAAATAAGATTTTCTGTTCTGTTTTCTTTCTCTTTGTTGCTCTTTATTTTTTCGATTTCGTTTTTGCAACTCAATTCTCATTTTTTCTTTCTTTCTCGTTCTCTGGCTATATTTCTCCGGCTATTTCTTTCTTTCTACTTATTTATTTATAATACTTTTTTTAGCTTTGTTTTGTTTTTGTCTTTGTGCTTTTGCTTCTTTACTTGTTTTTGCTGTTTTTCGCTAATTTCTTTACTTATTTTCCTTCCCTATTTTTTCACGTCCTCTTTCTATTTATGTTTTTAATCTTCAGCATTAATTACTGTTTTATTTATTTCTGTATATTTCTCTGCCTCTTTAATCAATTTCTTTTATCCTTATTATTATATTTTTACCTTCTTTTTTCCTTTCTTTATCGTTTATCACTTTCTCAAGATACATTTCACTTTACTCTTTTTCACCTTTCTCTCTTGTCTTCTTCCCAACAGCTCTACTACGAATTTACAAGTATTAGTTTTATGTTACATTCACTTTCAAACTTTATGTTCGTCTTTCTTTTTTCGCTTCATATTTCACCTTCCCTTTAACTTTCTTCTTTATTTCACATTCCTTTTTAATTAAACTCTTATAGTATCTTCCATTTTTCACTTCTGGGACAGTTTTTCTCTTTCTATCACTATCTATTTTCTTTCTATATCTTTTTAACTTTATCTTTCTATTCGTTTACATATCTTGCTCTTGTTTTTCTTGTTTTCGCTTGCACATTCGTTATCTATCTTTACTTCTCTTCTATATTTCACCTGCTTACTTTATCTATCTATCTGTTTATTTACCTTTATCTTCTTTCTTTCTATCATCTACACAAACTTCCACTCATATTTATACCAATTATATATATATATATATATATATATATATATTTACACACGCTCTATCTGATATTGAGCACTTTATCCCATAAATATAGCACATCTTAAGATTATATTTCTTCATATATATATATATATATATATATATATGTCATGAGAGATAGATAGATAGATAGATGTGTTTATATATTGTCATGTACACTAGGTTACATTTGTGTACATTTGTGGCTAATCTGTCTTTAACGTTTAACGCGTGTAGTAGTGAGTTAACCGAGAAGTGTTCCGTTTAACAATGACATTATATTCATATAGTGAGCAAGCAGATATGATTTTTACATGCGGCCGCGCGAATTGTAATGGACGCGAGGCTACACAGCTGTATCAGGTTGCGTTTCCATACCGAAGGCAGCCGAGCCATCCAACTTTTGCTGCTGTGTATCGTTGCATTGCTGAGACAGGACCCACAAACTATGAATAGAGTAAGATCGAGATCCGCTCATACGCCTGACCACGAAGAACACATTCTACAGGTTGGCGGAGTCGATTCAGGTTTCCACACGTTTCAAGTGGCCCTAGCACATCGTACATCTCATAGTACTGCATAGAGGGTACTTCAAGAGCAGCTCCTTTATCCGCAGCATTTGCAACGTCTGAACTTTTGCCGATGGTTTATTGCACAAACTGCCAATCCGTTGTCTCTTCAGTCTTGTTTACGGATGAAACAACATTTGGAAGAGATGGAATGACAAATTTGCACAACTAACATTTGTGAGCGGATCATAATCCCCATGATACAATACAGGCTAGACACCCTCATCAGTTTACGATTAATATATAGGTGAAATTGTAGGTGACTATCTGCTAGGTCCATATGTTCTCCCAGCACATCTTACAGGAGCTATCTACGAGGAATTTATTTCAAACATACTTCCAGACATGTTAGAGGATGTACCTCTGCTAATACGAAGACGTGTGTGGTTCAGGCATGATGAGGCTGTAGCACATTTTAGTCACTTTGTTCGTGATGCACAGGTTGACATCTGCCATGAAAGATGAATAGATAAGGGAGGACCAGTTCCATGGCCTGAACGTTCACCTGACCTCATCCGTCTAGATTTTTATCTGTAGGGCCACTTAAAGTAATTGGTTTATGCAGCAGACATTTATAATGCAGACATGTGTTTAGATAGACATTTTACCTTGTTTTGATATCAGAAACCCGCAAAGATTGTAAAAGTATTTTTAAATTATATCTTGGAGTGTACATTTAACAGCGTCTACCGTAAAATTTAATTTAACTCAGACCGAAGGATTTGCGGAGATATGTTTATTTGTCCTTGTCCTGGTGTGTGGAACCGGCCCCCAAAGTTTTTGAAAGCATTTTTGATACGCACACAAACACTATATATATATATATACACAAATGAGAGAAAGAACGGATTAGGTAAAATTTTGCTGTTCGCAGCATTTACTTTTTAAGAAAAGTGTTCAAGTTATGGCCCTTAGAAATGAAATTACCCGATTTTTTAAACATTTAACTATACTGTAAGGTGAAATATAAACTGCGTCGGCAATTTACAGTTAATTCACTTCTTTGGTTTTGCAGAGATTATTTTTGTCGGTAAATCGGGTGATTTCTAATTTTTCATGTAAGCATAAGAAACAAGGTTCAGCTAAATATTTGCAGGTTCTAGCTTTTTAAAGGCTTTTCCATTTTACTGTAGGGGTTTTGATAATATCATTTAAGTTAACAAAATCCCTATATACATATCTATCTATGTATCTATATATTTATATGTATATACATATATATATGATAGATATGCAGAAAGACAGATACATACATACATATGCATATATCAGCCATATATATATACATAAATACATGTATAAATATATAGATAGATAGACAGACAGACAGAAAAACAGATAGATAGATCGATAGATAGATAGCTATCAGTTTTATAGATAGATATATATCAGTCTTATAAATAGATAGATAGATATACATATATCAGTCATATATATATATAGAGAGAGCTAGATTTCATAGAGATGCATATATCAGTCATAGATAGATAGATAGATAGATATGCATATATTAGTCATACATAGATTGATAGATAGATTCATATATATATATATATATGTGTGTGTGTGAGTGTATATGTATATATAGACAGATATGTATATGTCAATCAAATATATATATAGATAGATAGATATGCATATATCAGCCATAGATATAGATAGATATGTATATGCTGTTTCATGGATAATTTTTTCTAACCCGGGTTTCACGCTTTCACGATCTTCAGACGAAAGTGGATCTATTTATAGATCCACTTTTTGCAAAAATAAACCAGTTTGTCTGAAGATCTTGATAATGTAAAACTCGGGGTTACAAACTACTATCTATGCAACTGCAGATAGATAGATAGATTATATATATATATATATATATATATATATATATATATATATATATAAAGATAGATATGTATATATGTCAGGCAGATAAATAGGTATACATCAGTCAGATAGATAGATAGATAGATAGATAGATAGATAGATAGATTGATTGATTGATTGTTTTGTCACACGGCGTCTATATTGCTTTTCTTTCTTTTATCTATCGTTTCTACTATTCTCCTTTAAAACTTAACTATATGCTCATGTCAAACACCGATCAGTAGTTCATACTCTCGCCCAGTCTTAAAGACAAATCATCGAATTTTATCTTGTACAGCCTCACTTCATATCCACCCCCTGCTGATGCTAATGCTCCTTGAATTGTTATTTTGTTGTTTGAGCCGACAATCTAACAAAGGCTGACGGTCAGAGGTCGCGTGTTCAGCCCACAATGAGAGCATACTGGAATAGTGCAGGTGCTTCGCGGGGATGTTGTTCCCCGGGGCACTGATTAGCGCCATTTTAAGTGATCCGTAAGTGGAGGAGAGAAATAGAGCTGGCGAAGAGGAATGAAGACCTTCAGAGTGAAACATGAAACGAAAGAAGGGGGATAAAGAAAAGAGTTTTCGTTGTGGGACGAGGATTTTCTTTCTCTTCCTTGATTCTCGCCTCGTTTTTGCTTACTCCCTCACTTTCTCTATCCAATCTACCTCCATGTTTGTTTGTTTCGAAGCATTTTTCTTTCCTTAATTAACATAATTTTCAAATATGACAGTGATAATCTGAAAAGAAAAATAAACATACTAAACAAAAATGAAAGGGGCGCTAGACAGCCCTTCTTGATAATTCTCAAATGCAAACAACCGTCTTTTCCCGCACTTTTATTTTTATTCCCCCCTCTCGCTTTTCTCTTTTTCATTTTTTTTTTTCTTTTCTTTTTCTTTTTCTGTTCACTTTTTCACTTTTATTAAAAATCGTTGCATCGGACTTCTTTTCTCTTTCCTTAATTTTTCACCCTTTTTTTTTTCCTTTGATTTTTTTTATTTTGCCATTTTCCTTTTTCACTTTCTATATTAAACCCCCTTTTGCTTAATATTGTCTCTTTTTATTTTAGATTTCTCTTCATTTAATCTTTTCTATATCCAACGTCTCTTTTTATGCTATTTTATTTTATGGTCCTATTCCTTTATCTTTTTCTGCTTGATTCTGTCTTTTTTTTTGTTTTTTGTTTTTTTTCTCTCTCTTCATCCTTCTTCTCGCTCTTTTTCATCTCTTTTCAAATTCATCCATCTTTTTTTTTTTTTCACTTATATATTTTTATTCTTTTATCATTTTTCTCTTTCACTTTTCTTTTCGTTCCTGCTCCCTATTGTAATTCTCACCCTTTCTCTTGCTCTCTTTCTTTCTCTCTCACACACACACACGCACACACACACACACATCTATCTATCTATCTATCTATCTATCTATCTATCTATCTATCTATCTATCGTAGTCAGTTCATTATCTATCTATCTATCTACCTATCAATCTATCTATCTATCTATCTCAGTCTCTTCTTTCTTTTTTTCTCTCTTTGCTTCTTATAGTTTTGACACTGTTTGGGCAACTTTTTATACTTATGTACTCGCAAACTTTTTAGACTTTTAGGAGCTATTTTCCTTTTTCCATCTATCTATCTATCTATCTATCTATCTATCTAAAGATATTTCTCCTTTTACTTCCTTGCTCTCTAATTTTGCTTCATGTTGGCTTCATCTTTTCCGTCGTTATATTTTTTTTTAATCTTTATGCTTAATTCTCTCTCTTTGGTTTATTTCTGTCTTTCCTTCTTTTGTCACGCTCAATCTTTTCCCCTTCCATTTCTCATCTTCTCTTTCTTTCACCCAATCCAAATTAAAGAATGAGTCGACAACAAATGCTATCTCTCGGAGGTTTTCGCAACAGAGAAAAGAGAATCAGAGAGAGAAAGCATAATCAAGAAGAAGATAGATGAAAAGCAACGGAAACCCCACAACCTTCTATAACATTAATTTCTCCCCTATTTTTCCTCTTTCCCCATTTTCTTGAACACAATGAACCCTAAACATACCCCATCTCACCCATACTATAATCACTGAACACTCCTTTAGAACGGTGAATCGTTGGTGATGTAATTACTATCAACAATATTGAAATTAACATGAACGGGTGATCAGAGAATAAATAGTGGGCAGAGAATTTGAGGTGGGAGTCGAATGGGATTTTATCACAATCGCATGAGAGAGGAATAAGAAGCAAAAAAGAACAAAGGATTAAGTTGGAAGGAGGGAGTTTAGATTGGACGATATACTGAAAAGGGGGAGTAGGGAGAAGAAAAGTGAGAAGAGGAGAGGATAAGAAATTGAGGTACATACAAGAAAAGAAAAAGAACAGAGATGAAGTGAACATTCGGAATGGTAATGTCATTTCTGAAAATAAAAGATTGTTTTTATATAACTATTTCTCTAGTAAGAATGAGAGTTAAATGAAAGAAAACGAGAAAATAATATGAGATAAAGAAAGAAAGAAAGAAAGAAAGAAAGAAAGAAAGAAAGAAACCAGTGCATACATTTGAAGACCATAAAAAATACAAGATAAATCTGGGGTTGCTTAAATGATATCAGTCATACATAAAATTCATTCAAGAATAAGTTTTGTATTAAACTTGAATTATTGGATATTAATAAAGGAAAAGTTATTTTTAGCAGATAATAATCTTTAACTCGCATCCTTAATCCAGATTTTACAAGAATTACCGAATGTTTACGATTAAAAACAGAAGAATTGTATAAGAGAAGGCTAAGTTTAATTCTATCTTTATTTAAAGCTTAGCCTTTAGCATGTTTCGAACGAATACTAACTTATTGAGGTTACCTATACGACGTTCAATAAATGGAGATATATATATATATATATATATATATATATATATATATAGTGTATGCGTGTTTGTGCATGTGTGTCCAAGCAACTCCTCTGCTCCCACTGGTCCGATTTCAATGATTCACAGCTCATTCAAAAGCCCTAGAAAAGTTAGTTAAAGCGAACGATTTTCGTTGAGCTCAAACTCAAGATTACCAGATTATGCGAGGTTAAATATATATATATTAATATATTATACTAGCCATTATCATTGCTTTCATGGTTCAAGGGGAGTAACTCTTATTTTCCTTTTGTATCCCAAACTGCAGCTAGCTTAAAATGTTAAGCTAGCTTAAAATGTTAATCTAGCTAAAATTTTAACCTAGCTTAAAAACTGCCCTATCGGGTGGCATTTAAGCTAGCTCCTGTGAAGAACTTTTGGTTTGGCCATCATCACAATAACTAGCAAGGAGTAGATGCGATAGGCGTCAATAAACTACAGAAGAACTCAAAATTGATCGCTGCATTTAAGTGTTGATTTAATGTTTAAGCTTACCTTTTAAAAGTTCAACAATAATTCTTCTGCTACCACTTAATTTAAAGACGATTTGATGTACGTAGATCCTTATTTTCCGTACAGACAATTATTTTTGTTTCATGGGTGACAGAAGAGGGGACAATTTATGAGATAAAATTAATATAGTGTAAAGACGGTAAAATAGAAATTAGAATTAGTTATACATTCAACATTTAAAGAGTTAGAGAAACATAATAGCTAATTAAGTAAAACCTATATTATAGAATCTATATGAATAAATGCAAAATTGGAGCTGAATCCTCTCACGAATTCTGAGATTAAAAAAATGCCCCAGCTCTACTTTATAGTAATTTACACGCAAGAAGTTCAATATCTGTGTTATATATTGTCTACTTCTAGCCACTAAGGTTATTTCGAACACGCTTAAGGTTCAACTAATTTGCATATTGATTTTAAAAATAAGTTTACTTCATTAATTAACTGCCCTTCATTACACACAAGCAATTATTTGTGCCAGTAGACAGAAATTTCCCTGTCTATTTTCCTATCTTGAAACTCGGTTTTGGGAATTTAATGTTCACTAAATCTCGAACATTCTTGAGGCTTATTTGTCAACATTGTGTCTACTGGGCATGTTTTCAAATGTCAATATTAAGACCATGAAAATATTAAAATGTTCTTACTGCTAGAGGAGAAATGGAAATTATCTTTCCTTAATTTCCCAAACGGGGATATCTACCTATCTTGAAAACCTGCACTCGAAATCACCTGGACTAGAACACCAATGTGAAAAAAACGATATAGATTTCATGTAATGATCACTCGTTATGATTACGTTACGACCTCTGTTATGTGCCATGCGTGATACATGCGCAGGGGATCATGTATCTGACGAGGCAGATTTTTTCCTGCAGTAGGTTGTCATTTCTTTCTGCGGTAGACCAGTTGCCATCCTGCTATTTACCGATAGATGAAGGGAGAAGAGGATTCATAACTTTCCCAAGGCACGTAAGTGAATGTAATGGATTCCAGTGGAATTCGAACTCGGCTCTCCGATTCCTTAATCCGAGCCGCTATCCATTACTCCTACGTTACAACCTAGTGTCACAAAAACAGTTACACTTTCAAAGTAACGTTGACCTACAAATCAATAGGTTGGATGATTGTTGTTTATTTTTATTTGTACTGAAGACAACGCGTTGGAAAAAGTCAGACTTACATCGCAAAATTGACAGCCGGAAATTTACTTTTGAAATTACTGGAATTGTAAGCGCCTTGTCACAAAGTGGGTGTTTCGGAAATGATTTTGGTTAGACGACCGCTGACAATGGCGACAATACCCACACACTTTCTCTTTAACCTTATCTTTTTTCAATGTCATAGTGAAAACATACATGAGTATTTTTCTTCGTGATAGATATGCAATGTAAATTGTTTACGATTTAAATAAAGATGATAGTAAATCTGATAGATCGATACGGTCAAATTGGTGGCTGATATAAAAAAAGACCAGTCTGTTGTTAACTGGAGCAACGGATGGTTTATTGATTCTAATGTCTCCAAAACAAAACTGCTTTCTATTAATCATTTTGACAAACCACGTTCAGCCTTCCGTCAACTAACCTACACAAGAGTGGGTCCTTGCACCTCCTCGGGTTAACATTCTCAGCTAATATGAAATGAAAAGACTATCTTGAAACCATTACTAGATCTGCTGCTAAGATCTGCGTGTCGTGCTAGACAATTTTTCTCTCCTGACTCTATCTTACATATCTATAAGTCTACCAAACGTTCATACCTCGAATATTGCTGCCACATATGGCCCGGTGCTTCTGCTATATATTTAGAGATTCTTAATAAAATCCAAAGATAAATCAGCAATCTCATTGGTCTTGATTTGGCGTCTCGGCTTCAATCACTTCAATTACTTTCCCACCGCCATAAAGTTGTTTCCCTGTGCCTTTTCTATAAATACATAAATGGTAATTGTTCAGATAAGCTTTTTGCTATGGTACCTAAACTTTATAAATTTGAGCGCAGTACTAGATTAGCAACAAGGTCCCATCAGTTTAAAGTTGAATTGGTTAGATGTAACCGTAAGTTCTATGCCAATTCTGGCACTTCTCGCTTGTGGAACTACCTTTCGGCTCCATGCTTTCCTGACAGGTTTGATCTTTAAAAGTTTAAATGTAGTGTCAATTGTTATCTACTGTCTTCTTGATTACTCTTCTATTCCTCTCGCTCTTCAGTAGAGCTTATATTTTTTTTTATTCTCTCACAACCAGTAGACCCTTGTGTCTTAGTAGCTTTACTGCCTTACATGGGGATAATTCGATTCTAAAAATGCTTTAATAAAGCGGAAAGCTATTATTTTAAATGTTTATATTATTTTCGGATTTTATACTGGAATGCTTGTCACGTGACTTTGCAACATTTTTTAATTTCATGTCTCTCCAGAACACAGGCAATCCCGACTCCCCCCCCCCAGATTCTTTCTTTTGTATGTTGAATTTTAGTTTAGTTTACTGTTAATAAAACATAAAATCGGAGCAAATGTGATATTCAATACTACCAAATTAATGAAAAATCATTTTTAAGAACGTTGTTATACAGGATGCAGCAGAAATATCTCCGACATATACCGCCTAGAAATATCTCCCACATAGTGGTATGGCATTAGCGGAAGAAATACCCCCCACAGTTTAAACTGTCGCCTGTGCGGCGTTTGTGAGCTTGAACAATGGTGTCTTCATCTAAATAATATCTTATCAATATGTCGGAGGTATTTCTACCGCACCAAATTACTAATGTCTTACCATTACGTGGGTGGTATTTCCGGGAGGTATATGTGGGAGGTATTTCTATCACACCCTGTATTATAAGTTAATATGATTATTAAATTACAGTTTCTGGGAAAGATCGTGTTATCTAGCGTGATCAACAATTTGAACAAGGCTAGCAGACTCAAACACTCGGCCACGATGACTTGTGACTTCGTGCTAGCACAGCTATCGACGACTCCTAAGGTTTCCGTCTACCCAATTTCACTCAAAAGGCTTCGGTCAACTCGTAGTATGGTTTTCAGGCACTTTCCAAATGTGCTGCACGCTGGGATTGACCCCTCTAGTCCGATAACATCAGGAAGCTTCCTGCCTGACAAATTGACTATGGTGAGATTCGAACCCGGGTCTCACGGTCAAAATGCGAACGTACTAACCACTCGTGCCCATGAACTGTAACTAAGGTCTGCTCAGCATTGGTTGCAGTATAAACCACAGGTGGGCTCTGTGGGTGTTGAATAAACACAAATGCGCCTGAGCAAGCGTCTGCAATAGGGATTGGCTAGCCGCCTTAGTAGGTGGGTATCCTCGAATACGAGTGGCCAACTATTCATACATACATACATACATACATACATACATACATTATTAAATTCAATCATTTTGATCCTATATTTTAAAATATTGGAAATGAGATTTACAAAACGTTGATCCTAGCCGTTTTTCATCTTTTTCGTCGCTTTCAAAAAATCGATAAATATCGGCTATTTTTAACACATTTGTAAACAAGAATTAATTCTCGGTTTTAAAAGTCTTTCAAAAATAAAATATACTTTTCTGAAACTTTATTTGAGGAACATTTACTGATTTAAAGTACAATTAATCTGATTTGAAAAAATCACACATTTTTAAGAGCCATTTTTTTTTCTATTTTTATTTTTCTACTTCTATAATCATAAAAATGGTATAATTATGACAAAATAGGTTAGCATAACATAGTTATGAACTATAAAATAAAAAACGTCGCCATCATGTTTATTTTGTGTCATGTTATATTTTGGTTCCAGAAGTCATAGTTCCAATATGGTTTTTGTTTTAACGTGTATATTCAAAGATTAAAATGCATGCAATGTTTAGTCTTCAACGGCTGCTTCAGGAATGCTGAAATTAGTTTGGACTAAATTAACATCTTTAGTTGCTTCAGCTATTGACTAATATAGACAAATATACCAATAACTGTGTAAAAGCAGCTAATACAGTGTGCTTGAATTTCTTATACTCTCACAATTCACTGCATCTGCTTTGCCCTTCCCGAGACTATATTGTTATTTCACGTATATGCAGAAAATATTTCTTCACAAAAAAAAGAACTCTTTAAATTTTCTTAAAGACTTGCAATTAATAGCTGCCCTCGTTTACTATTGCAGATATAATGCCAATAGACATAATTTAAGAAATTGAAGACAAGCAAAATACACTGGTGTATTTCAAATAGAAATCATATTGATTGGAATCTCATCTTTTTCGTCGCTTTCAGAAAATCGATAAAAATCGATAAATAACATTTTTTTTTAACACGTTTGTAAACAAGAATTAATTATCGGTTTTAATTTTTTTTTTAAAATGAAATATACTTTTCTGAAACTTTATTTGAGGAATATTTACTGATTTAAAGTACAATTAATCTGATTTGAAAAAATATTATTTACTTTAAGTTTAGAATATTAGAGAAATGGATTTTTAAACAAACGGTAGCGGTGATTATGCGCTTATCACCGTCGCTTGCCATTCATCGATAACTTAACAAGTAATAATTAAATCTGTCAACATCTTTACTCTTGTTCTACGGAGACTTTATCTATTAAAACATAATTTAAGAAAATGACGGGTGAGCGACATTTTTATATAATATTTGAGTACTCAGTAATCTTAAAAAAGTTGGAAAATATTCTCTGTAATCTAATTTTAGAAATGTTGAATTTACATTTACTACTATATTAAATGTAAATTCAACATTTCTAAAATCGCTCTTATTTTCTGATTATGTCGTGTATAGTCGACCATACTTTGAAACTGGCGCAAGTTACGTAATATTTTATATACATAATTTTTTTTTAAATATTGGGATAAATGATCACTTAATAACAATATCACCTAGCCTGATTGATGTTTTTTTTTAAGTATTTCACCCCAAGTAAAGCGGGAGTGCTTCTAGCACGCAAAGGGTTACAGAGAGCGAAAGTAACAGTAAACAGGTGCGTTTGTGGAAAGAATAAAGAGAAGCGCGGGGATCAAGATCAAGGCATCAGAAGATATCAATTGACATTACATTTAAATTTTTGAAGATTATAGTTATCAAGGAAGCAAGTAAGAGAAGGGTAGTTCCATTGTCGGGAAGTGCGAGAGAAGAAACAGTTGGAGTAGAAGAGGCGTTTACATTTGACAGCTTCGACAGTAAAAAGGTGGGACCTAGTCAGTCAGTTATGTGCCTTGAGTGATACACGCTTAGGCGATCATGTATCTTTCGATACATGACTGACGAGGCAGATTTTTTTCCCGCAGTAGGTAGCCATTTCTTTCTGCGGTAGACTAGATGCCATCCAAGTCTATATAACCCGGTCTGTTCTGCTATTTACCTATAGCTGGGGGAAGAAGAAGAGGATGCATACCTTTCCCAAGGGTATTAGCACGCAAATGAATGTAATGGCTAGTACTACGCTTATATTCATGCAGTTGGGGCACCAGCGAAAATAACTCGTCAAAACAATTGCCATGAAAAGGCAGAGGGTGGCCACATCACGTCTGTGAGAAAGTGACTGGAGTAGAGATTCAATGCCAGGACCCATCACATTGCATATCCGTATTTGGATTTTGTCGAGAACCTCGAGATGAACAGCTGTGACACCAGACCATATATGGCAACAGTATTCAATGCAATGACGAATAGTAGATTGGTAGATTTGAAGGATGGACTCAGACGAGAAAAACCTTCTAGCGCGACACAAAGAACTAACTTTCCTTGCAGTAGATGTAGCTATTGATTCAATGTAGTTGTTCCACCTCAGCTCAATGGAAAACGTGAGACCGAGAAGACGCAGAGAGACGCTCTCGTGAAGTTGAGCATCAGCCATGCTGATAGGAGGCAGGGAGGTTTCTCAATGGTGGGTAAATGAGAGCAGTTTCGTTTTGGAAGCATTAAAGATTACAAGCCATTTCCTGCGCCAGTCAACCACAAATTGGAGGTCCTTTTCGAGACCAACGGCCAGACTAACTTTGTCAGCAATGGCGGATTTACTATTGAGACGGGGGCAAATGGTTGTGTCGTCTGCGTAGATGACTACGTGAGAACTGAAATGTAGAAATACCGTCGATGAAGATCAGAAACAGTGTAGGACCCAAGATAGAGCCTTAGGGAACACCAGCGTTCGTATGAAAGAAACTGGGGGAAAACCCCTTTAGGACGACATTCATTTCACGTTTGACAGGAATGACTGGATTAATCCTTTGAGCCCTGACCACCGCTTTACCGGTGGCAAAGAAAAATGACGTCATGCCCAGTCATCAGTTGAACAGCGGTAGAGAAAAATAACTCAATGCCCAGCCATCAATTGAAGGGTGGGTAAACACTTGTAACTATTTTTATATCTACCGTGAAACATAGCATACCAATTATTTGCGAATTTTACTCAGGGACTCAGGAAGGAGGGTTAAAATTGTTCAGGAACGTAGGGCTCAAAGGGTTAAATCAAATAATCGTCCTGTAATGCCGTATCCCTGAAGCTTACGTAGAAGGCCGGCAAGCCAAACCCTATCAAACGCCCTAGAGATATCTAGAACCACAGCTCAAGCTTCGCCGTTATTATCAAGAGATTGGTATACCAATTCGGTTATGGCCGGAAGCACGTCAGCGGTAGACCAGGCAAAGCAGAAACCAATATTGTTTGTCAGAGAGATCATGGGAAGTAAAGTGCCTAACCACTTCGGCATTTATTAAAGCCTCAAAAACTTTGCCGAAGAGTGGTAGGAAACTGATAGAACGGTAGTTAGATTCGTCAGAAGGGTTTTCAGAATTCTTAAAAACAGGGACAACAGATGAGGACTTCCAACGAAACAAGAGTTATATAATTTGGAAAGAAATAGAGCCAGCTTAGGAGCACTTTTCTTTAGGACTACGGCTGGTATACCGTCATCACCAGTTGCTTTATGGGAGTCTAATTTAGAGATGATTATCAGTACCATCGACGGGGTTTTGCTCATCTTACTCAATAGAGCTTCAGTTTTAGAGAGAAAATCAGGTGTAATGCAGAATTTTAAACGATTTATATAAATTATTATAATTAAAATGTAAAAAAAATGAAAACAATTCTTGTAAAAATTCATTATTTAAAAATTCTCCCCACCCCTACGTCATTTACTTAATTTCATGAAATTAAGTGAGTAGGAGTGGGGTGGTGATAACATATGTAAAAGAAATATTTTTACCAAGATTTTCTAAAAAATAATTTCATTCATGTGAATAAGTCCTGAAAGTTTCACTAAAATCTGACAATTATTTGATTTTTGCAAGAATTTTCAAATTAATGTGTTTTTCACCTGAAAAAAGGCACAAAAGCACTAATCATGAATATTACGTCGACCGCTGACGTAAAAAAAAAAAAAAAAAAAAAAATTAGAACGTGCTAGAAAGGATTAAAAAATGAAATAAAACAATAAAAAAAAT